ACCTGACGCGGGGCCGCAGCGCCACCTGGGGGCAGACCGCGGCCAGGTCCCCCGCTGCTCCAGCGGCGGCGCCGGACCGGGAGGGGAAGACCGGCGGGCGAGACGGTCTAGGGAGGGGACACTCTCCCGCGGCCTCGATGGGGCGGAGAAGGGCGCTGGGAACCGAGCAGGCACGTGCACTCGGGCCTGCGAGCTGCGCAAACCGGCACCGCCCCCGCGCAGGCGGTCCCTCCCTTCCTAAAACCCGGGGCTTGGAGGGGGATGGGGGCTGGAGAGGATCTATCCTCGTCCAGCACCCTATTTTATGGGGAAGAAAACGAGGTTCGACGCTGGGCGGAGGTTCGACGCTGGGCGCGGCGGCTCACACCTGTAACCCTAGCACTCTGGAAGGCCGAGGTGGGCGGATTGCTCGAGGTCAGGAGTTCAAAACCAGCCTGAGGCCGGGCGCTGTGGCTCACGCCTGTAATCCTAGCTCTTGGGAGGCCGAGGCGGGCGGATTGCTCAAGGTCAGGAGTTCAAACCAGCCTGAGCAAGAGCGAGACCCGTCTCTACTATAAATAGAAAAGAAATAATTGGCAACTGATATATATACATAAAATTAGCCGGGCATGGTGGCGCATGCCTGTAGTCCAGCTACTCGGGAGGCTGAGGCAGAAGGATCACTCAAGCCAGGAGTTTGAGGTTGCTGTGAGCTAGGCTGACGCCACGGCACTCACTCTAGCCTGGACAACAAAGCGAGACTCTGTCTCAAAAAAAAAAAAAAAAAAAAAACCAGCCCGAGCAAGAGGCTGAGTAGAGACCCTATCTCTATTATAAATAGAAAGACATTATCTGGACAACTATATATATATATATATATATATATATATAGAGAGAGAGAGAGAGAGAGAGAGAGAGAGAGAGAGAGAGAGGAAAGAGAGAGAGAGAGAGAGAGAGAGAGAGAGAGAGAGAGAGAGAGAATTAGCCGGGCATGGTGGCGCATGCCTGTAGTCCTAGCTACTTGGGAGGCTGAGGCCGGAGGATCACTTGAGCCTGAATTTGAGGTTGCTGTGAGCTAGGCTGACGCCACGGCACTGTAGTCCCGGCAACACAGTGAGACTCTGTCTCAAAAAAAGAAAAACTAGGTTCGAAGAAAGCAAATAACTTGTCCAAGTTGATGAGTCTGAACCACCCGGTTCATGCTAAAGACACGGGGGAGCAAGGTCTGACCGCCCCAGCCTTGGCCTGCAGAGGCCACTGACATACCCTCCTTCCCCCACTATCCCTTCCCAAGGGATCGCATTTCCCCTCTCCCCCCCTGCAACGGAGAGCGGCTTGGCCTCCCGCCCCCAGCCCTAGGCCCAGCTGTTGTGCTCCAGGCTTCTGGCCTCCTGGCTCTGCAGAAGTGGCCCTGGGGGAGCCCTGGCGCTGGGCGTGGGCAGGATGGCAGGCCCCAGAGGCTGCTGAAGCCCTTGCCCCAGTTGCTGTGTAAAAGCAAGACGTGCAGGTGAGCAAGGGGCTCCAGGCCCAGGGCACTGTGAGTCCCCACGTCAGCCACTCATGGGGCTCCCTTTAAGAAATAGGAGATCCGGGCCAGGCGCGGGGGCTCACGCCTGTAATCCTAGCACTCGGGGAGGCTGAGGCGGGCGGATTGCTCGAGGTCAGGAGTTCGAAACCAGCCTGAGCAAGAGCAAGACCCCGTCTCTACTAAATATAGAAAGAAATTAATTGGCCAACTAATATATGTAGAAAAAATTAGCGGGACATGGTGGCGCATGCCTGTAGTCCCAGCTACTTGGGAGGCTGAGGCAGGAGGATTGCTTGAGCCCAGGAGTTTGAGGTTGCTGTGAGCTAGGCTGATGCCACGGCACTCACTCTAACCTGGGGAAAAAAGTGAGACTCTGTCTCAAAAAAAAAAAAAAAAAAAGAAATAGGAGATCTGGGCCGGGCGCTGTGGCTCACGCCTGTAATCCTAGCTCTTGGGAGGCCGAGGCGGGCGGATTGCTCAAGGTCAGGAGTTCAAAACCAGCCTGAGCAAGAGCGAGACCCGTCTCTACTATACATAGAAGAATTAATTGGCCAACTGATATATATATAAAAAAAAAAAAATTAGCCGGGCATGGTGGGCACATGCCTGTAGTCCCAGCTACTCGGGAGGCTGAGGCAGAAGGATCACTCAAGCCCAGGAGTTTGAGGTTGCTGTGAGCTAGGCTGACGCCACGGCACTCACTCTAGCCTGGACAACAAAGTGAGACTCTGTCTCAAAAAAAAAAAAAAAAGAATAGGAGATCTGGCTGGATGAGGTGGCTCACACTTGTAATCCTAGCACTCTGGGAGGCTGAGGTGGGAGGACTGCTTGAGCTCAGGAGTTCAAGACTAGCCTGAGCAAGACCCCATCTCTACTATAAATAGAAAGAAATTAGCCAAACAACTAAAAATAGAAAAAATTAGCTGGGCATGGTGGCACATGCCTGCAGTCCCAGCTACTCGGGAGGCTGAGGTAGGAGGATCGCTTGAGCCCAGGAGTTGGAGGTTGCTGTGAGCTAGGCTGACGCCACGGCACTCACTCTAGCCTGGGCAACACAGTGAGATCTGTCTCAAAAAAAAAAAAAAAAGAAAAAGAAAAAGAAATAGGAGATCTGGTCTGGGGTCACCCTTGAGCATGCTTCTGGGCCACCAAGTCTGGACTGCACAGACTGCCCCAGCCCCAGTTTGCATACTCAGGCTGGCCTCAGCCCCTGTGCCCTTCCAGGGCCTATAGCTAGCCAGCAGTGCTGGGCCAGGCTGCTGGCCGCAGAGTGGCCCAGAGAGTGCGGCCCCATAAGCCCCTGACACCAGCACCTTCTGCTCATCCTGTTTTAGCTGCAGGTGGCCTCTGTACCTTCTCCCCGTCTCTCTGTTCCCTCCTCCAGCCCTCTGGCCCCCCTTCCTTTATCTCACCCCTCTCTGGCCCCCTCCCTCTCCTGGGGTGTCTCCCCTTTTTTGCTAACTTCCCTCCCCCATTGCACTTCCATGTATCCCTCCCCAGCTCTCTCCCTGCACCCACCCACCTCTTCCAGCCTCCTCTGAACTCTACTTCCCCCCACCCTGCCTGGCAAGATTCCTGCCCAAGAATGCAGTCCACTTGTTTTTGGTGTAAAAATGTCCCTTCTCCATCTGTGCAGGACCCTACTGGCACTACTGAGGCCCCCCAATCCCTGAGGGCTGCCCCTCCCACCCCATCCCTGCCTGCCCTCATAGGGTGCCTGACTGGTCTTCCGGGTGCTAGTTAAGGAGCAGGGAGGTCGAGAGGGGCACCCACAGCTCTGTGCTCCCCCTGGTCTTGCCTGAAGATGAGCCAGACAAGAGGGGGAGAGGAGGCTGTCAGGAACTCCCGCGCATTTGAGAGGCCTCCTCTCTGCTCAGCACACTCGAAAGCCCCACTGAGTCTGGGTTCCCCTCTTTCTTAGAATTCTCTTATTTTCAGTGCTTGGCAGAGTCAATTGACTGGAAATGGGGCAACTCCTCCTTCCACATCAGCTGTGGCCGAGGTAAACCTGCTTCCTGCCCTAGACTACAAAGCAATTTGTCGCTGGCCCCAGGTTGTTGATTCAAGGGTAATTAATTCTGCCAGGCCCGGCTTTGCATACATTTACACAGCATTTCTCAGGGACGCTCAGAAACCTCAACCTGCAAATCTCCTCCGCCTCCCAGCTTCAGCAGAGAGGGGAGGCTGGACCCCAAACCTCAGACGACCTGGAGACCCTCTGTCCTAAAGTGTGAAGCCAGGACACTCCGTGGCCCCAGCTCCCACCTCTTGTCTCCACCCTCGGAGAGAAAGCAGATCCGCAGTTGTGGCCTCAGCCCTGTCCCCACCAGCAGCAGCGGTCCCTCCCGGTCTGGGTCAGATCCAGGAGCCGTTTGTGGCCCCTGCAGACGTCACTGAGAAGGGGAAACCGTGAGCCTGGGGGCAGAGCTCTGCCCAAGGGAGACTCTGACCCTAACCCCAGAGCTCTGGCTCAGGAGCTCCTGCCTTCCAGGCTGTGTGACAAGGGATAATCCCACAGATTATGCGGGTGGCAGAGGGCCCTGGGGACATGGGCAGCACAATGGCCACACCAGAACCCAGCTGCACTGCAGGAGCCCAGAGGCCTGAGGAAGAGGAGCTGCAGGGGCTGGAGTCCCAGGAAGGAGGGGCCGGGCTGGGGCGTGCCGGGAGAAGGGGCTTGGGGGAAGGAGGAGACTCCTGAATGGTGGGGCTTGGCCAAGCTGAGTGGACATTTTTCCCACTTGAATTTAAAACTGTAAAACTTCCTTCCCTGGATCTGTCACCAGACAAGTCCTGAGAGCACAAGGACAGTGACTCCGGGGAGCAGGGCCAGGGAAACGGCCACCAGGGGTGTGGCACCGCTGCCCCCCCCCCCAAGAGCCGTTCTCAGCAGTATTTGGGGCAGGAGGGGAGACAGGTTACGGCAGGTCGTGGCTAGGCAGCTCAGTGAGGACACAGACATGGGCCTGGGACTGAGGACCACGCAACTGACGGGCAAGCACTCTGCCCCCGTGTCTTGGGTGGCCCCGTCTCCCCACTTAGCTCCTAGTCCTAGAGCCTGTAATCAGGAAAGACAGGACTAACCGTTTCATGGACTGTGCAGTGTTTCCCGCTCATGCAGCCTCGAGGCACTATCCCCACCCTGTAGATGAGGGCACGGAGGCCTGCAGGCCCTCAGACACATGCCCAAGGTCAGAGAGTGGTGGGACCCAAATTGAATCTAAGGGTGCCCGAATGGGACAGCTGCCTCTGGACAGCTAGTGGCACTTCAGATGTCACAGAGGCCTGACCGCTAGCAGGGAATCTCGAATGCGAATGAGCACCCTCTCTGAGCTGTGGGAAAATCCGCCTGGCTGGCTTGGGAACCAGCCTGTCTGCCCGTGGAGGGGGGTGAGGGTGGCGCTGGCCCTCCCTGCGTTTCGGAACGTGGAGTGGGCCCAGCTGAGGGCAGTGCTGCTGGCAGGCGTGGATGAGGCCAGTGACACAGCTGACATGAGTTACATCTTTACAGCTTTAATCCAGCAGGCCAGAGCCCTGGCCCGCGGGGCAGGCAGAGGGGAAGGCCACTGCCCGCTGCCCAGACAGCCTCCTCCCCGCCCCACCCCGCCCACACGGGCAAACAGGACGGCCCCAGCCTTCTGGGCCGGGGTCCCAGGAGCAGAGGGACTATTGGAAAACAGGGGCTGTGACCCCGGCTGTCATCTCCCTCCCTTGTCCTTAGTAAAATTAGCCCACCAACCCCAAACCCTCCCCCGGCCTCTCACTCATGGCCTGGTTCCAGCTTGGCTCCCGTTCCACTTCCTGGGGCTCTGTCCCCGCAGGGCCAGTACTGGGCTTGGTCTGGGGCCTGGTGACTGGAGGCCCCTGCCCACCCCGGGGCAGACGCAGGTGCAGGGCGAGGGCATCTCCCAAGGCTGGCGTCACTGAAGGCCAGCAGAGACAAGGCTGGCTCCTCAGGCTCCTGGGTAGGAGGGCTGCGGCGGCATGTAGGGGGGAGGAGCTGAAAGCCAAGGGGGCGGGATGAGGGTCGGTCAGCTGTGGCACAGGGACAGCCATCCCGGTACCGTATGTGGGGCCATGGGGAAGGGCTGGAGGAGGAGGCAGTGTGGAAGAGGGGGCCTGGGAGTGGGAGGTCCGCGGGGCAGGCAGCAGTGGGAGGGCTCCAGGCTGCTCACTTACCAGCAGGGTTGTAGATCGGGGGGCCAGCGGGGTACATTGGGTACTGCGGAGCAGGACCACTAGGCGGGTACATGAAGCCAGGCTGTGGTGGTGCAGGGCCAGCTTTGGGGTCCTGGGGGTATGGGTACACTGGCTGTACTGGGATGCCTGTCATCGGAATCTCCTGGCCTAGATGGGGGATGAAGATCAGCACTCAGAGATCCACCTTGCTTAGGAAACCTCCTGCCCAGGAAACCACGGCAAGCACCCTGGGGCGGCCCCCTGGCAGGCTCCCGGCCTCAGCCTGGCAGAGTTCAGCAGCGAGCTGCGCACATGGCCCGGCCGGTCAACCTGTGTTTAGCAAGTTTGCTCCCCTCGGCAGGTTTCAGAGCCCTCATGAGCCAGGGAGCACAGCCCACGGAGTGTCCCACTTGGGCACCAGGGCTGGTATCCTGACATCTAGCAGAGCTGCCACCAAGGGGGCCCTCTCCTAGCTCTCCCCCCCCCCACACTGATCTCCCATGAGGCACTGCTGTCCCCACGCCCACCAGGCTTGGGCACAGGTGCAGTCACGTGCCAACACTCAGCCACACATCGCACTGAATGCCGGAGCACACCGGTTCACGTCCGCCACCACAGCGCCCTCCCGTGTGCGTGCACACACCCACTGCACACCCGACACTGTCGACAGACTGCACTTCCGCGCACACGTCTGGATGTTCATGTGCACGAACATACATGTACACACAGCCTGCTATTCCCACATACCCTGGGCACATTCTAATGTTCACGGGCTTACGAGCATTTTTTTCTGGGTTTTCGTGCCGGCAGGCGCGTGTATGCAGAAGTGTGTCCACGCTGCCCCAGACAGGCCAACCCTCGAACTCTCTGGTGCCCATCACGGGGCTCGGCCTGGCTTGCCCTGGGCCCACCCTGCCCAGCACCACGTGTACCTTCAAAGGGACTCTGGAGCTGCTGGCGCCGGCGGTACAGGTAGCAGCAGGAGCAGAGGAAGCAGCAGATGGTGGTGGCAACCACAGCAACAAAGAGGATCACAGCCGAGGCGATGCCTGCAATGGTCTTGGGACTTTGGACAAAGAACAGGTGCTCTCACCTTCCAGCACTCACAGCGGCCCTCGCTGTGCTGGCTCCAACTCCCGGCCAGCAGGGGCACAGCAAGCTGAGCTTGGGGGTTCCTTGTGGGGCTCTGCCCAGTGCCTGTGGAGGAGATCTTAGGGGACCTCCACTTCCCAGAGGCTTTGCGGCCTGGCTGGCCAGGGCGCGGCATGCTGGGATTTGTAGTGCCCTCCTCTGCTTCCCCGCTCGGCTCAGCTGATGGGACTTACAGCAGCCTAGCGATGGCAGACCCTGGCAACCATCTAGAGCCACTTTTGCAAGCCTTACTGTAATCAGAAGTCTCTTTGCATCTGTCTTATGTATTAGTGATCCCTTTCAAAAAAAAAAAAAAGGGTCGAGAATCACTAATTCTGGCAACCTGCTCATTGTATGTAGAGGAAGCGGGGACCCATAGAGGGGAGTGTCTTCCCCCGGTCACGCAGCAGTGAGGAGGGAGGTGGGAGTCAAGGCTGAGCCCCTGCCTTGGTGCCAGAGCTCTTCCACGCAGCTGCCCTGCAGCCGGGTGTTAGCCCCGCACCTCCCTCCCCGCGACCTGAGGGAGCCAGGGAGGGCTCCAGGAAGAACCCGGGAACGCCCAGGCCAGCCCAAGCCCGTGAAGGGAACTAACAGGCCCGTTCTGGAAGCCCCAAGCGCCAGCGTAAGCACTAGCTCCGTCGCCTGGTGGAGGGACCGCCTGCTGGAGTGACCGCCTGCTGGAGTGACCGCCTGCTGGAGTGACCGCCTGCTGGAGTGACCGCCTGCTGGAGGGACCGCCTGCTGGAGTGACCGCCCGCCGGCGGCTAGGGACGTGGAGGACCGTGGGGAGGAGGACGGGGAGGATGGAGAGGGGCGCGGCGCGGAGCAGGGGCCCACCTGAAGGCCAGGCAGTGCTTCTGCTGCCTCTCGGTGATGAGCAGGCTCAGGTCCCTGCAGCAGTAGCGCTGGTAGCAGGTCCCGCAGCAGAAGGTGAAGAACTCGCAGCTGAAGCCCGGATGCCAGGAGCCATTCCGGTCCAGGTACCACAGGCAGTCCTCGCCGGCCAGCGCTGCGGGCGGGAGCGGGGTGCGGGCGGCCACACTGAGCCCGGTCCCCGGGGGTCTCCAGCCCGCCGGCTCCCGGCCACGGAGGCTGTCCCTTGTCTCCACCCTGAGAGTCTCAGTCCCTGAGCCCCGGAGGCCTCTCCCTGGGGCTGACCCCGCGGCCCGGTGGTGGCCCGGCCTCCCGCTCTCCCTCCTCCCGCTCCCGCGGACCCCGCGGCGGCCAGGGCATGCGGGCGCGGGCGCCCGGGACCTCGGGTCGGCCCTCCTTCCCCTCCGCCCCCGCCCCGCCGCCGCCGCACCCCATCCCTTACCCAAGGGAGCCCCCAGCAGCAGCAGCGCGATCCCGGCGAGCGGCGCGGCCTCGCGGAGCCCCGCGGGGCGCATGGCGGGGGCTGGGCCCGGCCGGGGGGCCGCCCGGGGAAGGGACGCGGGACGGAGCGGGCCGGCGGGAGCTGCGGCGGGCCCGGCTCGGACACCGCTCCCGCCTCCTTTGGGGCGGGACTAAGCGCCCCACCCGCAGGAACCCTGCCCGCGCCGCTCGCGCACCGCCCCGGGTCCGCCCACCAGCGACGCCCACCCGGCGCCCGCTCGGGAGCGGGGCGCCCCTCACCCCGCAGAGCACCGCCCTGCTCCCCCGGCCCCGGCTCCGCGGCGGCTCCTGCGCGCAGGGCCACCCTGGGCACCGCAGGCGGCGGGGAGGCCTGGCTCTGCCCTGGGCCCGCCCCCGGCCGGGGCCCAATCCCTGTGCCCGATCTCACAAGCCCTGATCCTGGTGCCACCTCCGAATGCCCAGACACGCGGGCCAACCCTGCAGGGGCAGGGCCGCAACGTCCCCTATGCGGGGACCTCCTCTGCCCTAGTGTCCAGCCTGGGACATCCTGTGGGGGGGCGGGGAGAGGGACAGAGGCTAGGCGTTGCCCCGCCCCCACTGCCAGAACACAGGCACCCTTTGAGAGGCCGTTTCAGAGGCGCTTTGTCCCGGCGGTGCCCGCAGGCCTGGACCCCGCCAGCTGCACCGGCTCCCTGAGGTGGCCCCCTCCCCCTCCGAGCGGCCCGCGCTGACACGCACCAGCCATGGCCTCGCCGGCAGCGACGGCAGGCTTCTGGGCCAGCGGGGACCCATCCAGTTAGACGCTCTTCCCCGCGAAAACCCTTTGCTTCTGTGGATGGGGAAAATCCAAACTCTGAAATAATTTGAAAGAAGTTTATTCTGAGCCAAATTTGAGGACCATGACCCGGACCCACTCCCAAGAAGCCTTGAGCAAGTTGGACTCCACGTGGCTGGGTTACAGTTTGGTTTTATACATTTTAGGGAGACAGGGGTTAAAGGTAAAGTCACAAATCAATATGTGGGCGGCATACATACGTTGGCCACCCGAAAAGGTGGGCCATCTCAAAGCGCCCGGGGGCTTACAGGTTTATAGATGGGTTTCAAGGGCTCACAGGGTATAGATGGGTTTAAAGATTCTTTGGCTTGTAATTGGTTAAAGACATGCAGCTTTGTCTAAAGGCTTGGCATGTTTCAGCATAGGGAGCTCTTATCAGAGATAAGCCACTGGGGACGTGGATTTGTTGTGTAAATTGAGGGCCTGCAGGTGTGTCTTGCACACCCTTAGGCCTGTTAATGGGTTACAAAGGATGTCCCCAAGAAGGGAGGGGGGCACCATAAGGTATGTCTATCTGACCTCCTTTCTCCTGGCATGCAATTTAGTTTTAGGATATTTCTTGGCCAAGAGGGGGGCTATTTAGTCAGCCGGTAGGGTGGGGGTGGAGGGTAGGCCTTAAAATTTTACTTTAGTTCACAATTCCCAGAGCAAGCCTGGACTGAACTAGCCAGAAGGGTATTTTTTTTTTTTTTTTGAGACAGAGTCTCACTCTGTTGCCCAGGCTAGAGTGAGTGCCGTGGCGTCAGCCTAGCTCACAGCAACCTCACACTCCTGGGCTCAAGCGATCCTCCTGCCTCAGCCTCCCAAGTAGCTGGGACTACAGGCATGCGCCACCATGCCCGGCTAATATATATTAGTTGGCCAATTAATTTCTTTCTATTTTTTTAATAGTAGAAACAGGGTCTCACTCAGGCTGGTTTTGAACTCCTGACCTTGAGCAATCCGCCCGCCTCGGCCTCCCAGAGTGCTAGGATTACAGGCGTGAGCCACCGCGTCAGGTTCCAGAAACGTATTGAGAAGGCAACAGTTAATCCAGGTGGAGACAGTGTTTTAGGGTGGGGGAAGTCAATCAATCCCCTTAGAGATTTATACGGATTGCTGGTGACTATGTCTCAGGAACTGCCAATCAAGCTAGAGAGACCATCAAAAGCCTACCTTAATCCCCTGCCTGGCACCACCTTGTGCAAAGGATATCTACTTGGGTGTCTACTGCACTGAAATGTTTCCACAACTCCCTGAGCTAAGCCAGGTTGGTAGGTGTTATCATCAATCCCATCTTACAGAGAGAGAAACTGAGACTCAGAGAAGTTAAAGGACTTGCTCCAGGTAATACAGCCAGTAAATAGTAGAGGCGACAGTAGGGCCAAGCCCCATCCGCAGCAGCAGATGGTGCAGACAGTGAGCGTTTCTGGCGTTCTGGGGTGAGGGATCCAGGCTTGGTCATGGAAGGCCCAGTGGAAGACCCTAAATGGGGTCGGGCAGGGCAGCCAAAAGAGGAGCTAACCCCCTCCCCTGGACCCCATAGGTGCTGGCACACCACCCAGGAGAGCTGGGCTAGGGAGAGGAAGCTGCTGGTAGCCTGGTGGGCTGGAAACGTATAGCAGCAGAGGGGCAAGGAGAGACACCTCTCAACGCACCGCCACCTACACAAGTGGTCCATTGCCATGCGTCCCCTCTTTCCTCCACTACGGGCTCCATGACTGCAGGGACCGTGTGGCTGTGCTCACTGTTGTCACCCAGCCCTAGACATAGGTGCTCAGTCGTTGGTCCACCCTCAGATGCAGGGCTGCCTCCTGTCCGAGGCTGACTCTCCCGTGTGTACCCTTGTCAAGTCCCATCTGTCCCTTCATTAATCCTTCTCTGGAGTGTCTGTAGCTTCTCCCTTCTTACCTGCTTCTCTTCCCTAGGAAAATGAAATTCCAAGTCTTTACTACCAAAAAAAAAAAAAAAAAAAAATCCACCAAAAAACCAAACCACATGCTTCCTGAAACCCATCCCTCTCTAGCTACTTTTCTGCTTTTCTTCTTTTTCCTCCTATTAGTCCTCCTCAAAGCTTATGTCCCTGGTTGCCACTTCCAGTTCACAGTAAGACCTAGCTCTGACCAACACCATGAGTGAATTTCTAATTGCAAAAGTCTAGGAAAGCTTTGCAGTCCATGGGGTGGGAGGTGATTAAACCTCTTCCTGGCCGGCATGATGGCTCACACCTGTAATCCTAGCTCTCTGGGAGGCCGAGGCAGGAGGAGTGCTCAAGGTCAGGAGTTCGAGACCAGCCTGAGCAAGAGTGAGACCCCCGTCTCTACCAAAAATAGAAAGAGATTAATTGGCCAACTAAAAATATATACAAAATATTAGCTGGGCATGGTGGCGCATGCTTGTAGTCCCAGCTCCTCGGGAGGCTGAGGCAGGAGGATCGCTTGAGCCCAGGAATTGGAGGTTGCTGTGAGCTAGGCTGATGCCACGGCACTCTAGCCCGGGAAACAGCGAGACTCTATCTGAAAAAAAAAAAAGACCTCTTGCAGCCTGAGCCTGGTCTGGGCACCCCTGAGGTCCTCCGTACCTTCCCAGGCCCTGGAGCCTCCATCCATCCCGCTGTCTGGCCATGGAGGCTCCTGTCCCACTTTGGCTGGCTGGTGGTTTGAGTTGAGCCATTCTGAGGTAAGGGAAACTCCCTTCCTTTCCCAATTCCTGCCTCTCTCTGACCAGAGGAAAGAAAGGAAGCCTCCTTAGCAGGGCCCACCTTCCCCTCCCTGCCCAAGAGCTCGCAGACAGGTAATTACATATTCCTTCCGTCCATGGGACCCTGAGTTCTTTCCTCCGTCTGACTTAATCTGCCACACCCTCTCTGGGGAGCCTTGGACACGCTGATTCTCCTTGCAGTCCGCAGCGGGGGAGAGCAAGGCCCCGGGGCACGCCAGGAACTTGGTCAGGGGCTCAGAGCTTAGTTGGGGACTGAAGGACCCCAGGTCTCCTGGCTCCCGCTGCCCTAGAATAAACAAACATCTCTCCTAAATCAGAGCATTTTTCCTGGTGTCTAGCTTTAATCTTTCCTATAAATGAAAGGCTGTGTCTCCTTGCGTCTGTCCTCTCGGTGGGAGGGACCTGTGGGCGGAAGGTGGGCAAAGGACAGAGGGATCAGCCTCCCTGCCGCCCAGCCACTGGGAAGATGGAGCACTCTTCCCCGGAGGGATTTCTGCCAGTGCTGTTGTAGGACCAACTGCCTCTCCCAGAACGCCGGGCTTCTGCTTACACGTGGAGTGGCCAGGACAGTCTGGGCCTCGGAAAGAGTGGGGCGTAGCCAGGCAGGCTTGGATGGCCGCTGTGAGTAGACCCCCCCACCCCCGCTCAGGTGTCAGGTGTGCCCCGAGCTGGGGGAGCAGCAGCGGCCCAGGCAGCCAGGGCCTGGCCTCAGGAGCACAGCCGAGCCAGTGGGGAGATGGGCAGGGCCAGGTTATCTTTAAATGGCACCTTACTCAGCCTACACCCTGCCAGCTGGGCAGGGTGGGGGCAGACAAGTGTTATTTCGGGATCCGAGGGTAAGGGAGGAGGCAGGCTCTGTTTATAGCTCTCCCCTGTCTGTCCCTACTCCCTCTCTTAGGAAGAATTTGGGGCCATGGGCCTCTCCAGCTGACCCTGGCCAACCTAGGGTCTCTGCTTTCAGCCTAGCTCTGTTAGCCGACTGCGCAGATGGGGGTGTTGGATCTACAGAGAGGCACAGGGTGTTTGTTGGCAAGACCAGCTCTGCAAGGGTAGGTTTAGTGGTGAGAATTGCATTTTGACTCTGGATTAGACTAGTAATAGCTAACATTAATACTTACTATGAGGCAACACTATGAAGTGCTTTGTAGTATATTGACTTTACTTAATCCTCACAATCACTCCATGAAACAGATACTAATATTATGCCTGTTTTGTGGATTAGGAAGTGGAGACACAGATAATTTAAGTACCTTGCTCAAAGTCGCCCAGCGGGCAAATGGCAGAGCCAGGGTTCAAACCCAGACGGTTTGGGTTTGGCTCCAGGGCCCGCTCTCTGAACCACTGACTAGAAATGAGCCCTGCTCTGCCACTTACCGGCTCTGTGATCTTGAAGAAACCATGCTACCCTTCTTGTCTTGGTTTTGAATTTGGAAACGGACTCTGGTTCAGCACAGCCCACTAGAATCCCCAAGTCAGAGCTAGCAGCGGGGCTCCCGTCCGTTCTCTCTCCCTGCTCCGTGGGTAAAGAACTTAAGGTCACACGACCCAGCTCGGGCACTGGTTTCTGGGCTCTTGCTAGTGAGCTTCCCATGGTGTCAGGGATGAGGCCAGGGAGCTGGTGGAGGGATATGAGATCAGGTATGAATTTGCAATCACAAAATCAGGTGTGGAAGAAATACATTTTATTTTCTTTTAATCAAAATAGATGAGAATGAGTCTCTATCCTGCCTCCGGGCTTGTTGCTGTGGTTTGCTCCGCCACCCAGGGTCACTGAAAGGCCCTGGGGTCTCACACAGTGCAAACACGGGGGGCCCT